CTCTCCACCAAACTCTCAGCCCGGCGCGCAAACGAGGCGCGTTTCTCAGCGGCAAGGGCAGACATGGTTGGGTCTTGGATACAGGTATGGATACACTATCTTTGGACTCGATGCGTTATAAATTATTTTAATTGAACTCAATACACGAAGATCGGCTGCAATGAGACAAGCAGAGAGTGCAAGCACTTAATTATTTAACACAATTCATAATAGTTATTTGTTTACTGTTATCTAAGTTATATCACATGATCGATGGCATTCACAAGCTTGTAAGGCACACAAATACCAACATGCATAGCTTGACGATTGCATTAATATTTAATATTCAGCTTATTTACAAAGAGCGATAGTTGCTGCCAAAAATCGAAACAATGAAAACGCATTAACAACAATGACAAGCGGATGTGATGGCAGCTGCAAAATTTTTGTACAAAAATAAATTCGAATTCGAGAATATCAACAGAGATTTTAAGCACAAACACACAAGTAGAAATATTATAAAATATGCACACACATTAATTTTTGTAAATGCAAAATATGCTAAGGGCGTCATTTGAATTTTAATGAAAATTATATAAATACATATATTTTTACCGTTGGGCGCAGCACATAGACACTAAAACACAAAAGAGTGTAGGCAACTCAGCTGCCTATCTCAGCAAAAAATATTAGGCAATAGTTGTCAATAACTGGCATCAATAGATTGCGCTTATTGTCAATAGTAAATGAAAACTCCGTTGCCGATCGCATGCGCCTCCCGTCAAGACGTTGTGCTAAAGAATACCGCCGAGGAACTGATGTCACTTTAACGGCTGAATCGACTTTTGTAGCCCCAGTGAGCGAAGAGCTCAGACAAAGAGCGCATAGAACTGTAGCGAATTGTCTTGAAAGAGCAACAACACAGAATATAAAAATAAGTAGGTATTTTGGATGTAGTATTTTATTTTTAAATATGCGCTTGTTGCACTCTTCATTGTTCGGCCATTCGTGCATTGATTTATGGATTTAAATGCAAAAAAGCAACAGGTGGTAGTGACGCAGTTGCCTGAGCAAATTAGTTCCAAGTCTAACGTTACAAGATATCCACTTACCAAATTTAAGCTCAATAAAGCATACATTTGCATACAAAAGTGTACCTAATTATGCAAATTGTACAGCTACAAAGATACAAAAAATTATATTAAATGAGCATTTCGCGTTTTATTTTTAAATCTGAGGATGATTTACAGCACTAGGACCGGCTATTGGCCGACCGCCACAATTTACTACAAGCTGTGCTGGCACAGTGAAATGTCTTTTTCGCGTTAGCCAGCACTTCTTTTGTGTCATCAACATCATTGCAATCGACCCACCGCCACAACCTATCTACCGAGCTAATGTTGTGAGAAGTGCTTGAAGACAGTTAAATTTTGTTTAAGTAGTTACAATTTTTCATAAAAACGGCATCAAATTGACGAACCGAAATGGCAACTCGCGGCGGTCCAATGGTCGCGGGCACCGATGGCAACGACTTCGAGTTTAGGCAGAAAGTGGCCAACACATATCAAATTAGGTTAATAACACTTTCTAAAATCTTGGCAAAATTATCTAATTACTTGCAAGTAGCTAAGCGGCTGCATTGCCAAAACACAAAAGGTCATGACACCGCAATTGACAGCAATCACCTTGCAACTCCTGCTGCAGACGGGCTACACCAACCAGACAAACAGTCAGCCAGCCAGGCAGCACCCGCAGAGTGGGTGGGCAAAGTGCCAGCGAGACAGTCAGCATGTGTGCCTGTTTACAACAGCAACAACAACATTGTTTGTGTACACATTTTGGATAGCCAAAGGCTGCAGCCTACCAAACAATCGAAGAATCCAACAAACGAGACAAATACATATAGAAATTAAACATTTTTTTCTCTATTTGCAGCTTGTTGAACAAATCGCGCCTAAAGTACTGCATTTTCTTTCATGCCCTGCTATTCTTTGTCATGCTGGCCAAGTTGACGTCGGATATATTGGATCGTTTGGACATATTTGTGCTAGAAATTGAAGAGCTGGAGGTGCCGCCGCCGCTATGGTGGGAGTACGTTTGGGCTGCCTCGCTGCTCACCTCATTTCTTGGTCTCTCAGCGTCCCGCGGCAACAAGGTGCGCGACATGCAAAAGTATATGATTGCAATTTTCGTAATGGCTGTGCTGCCGCTGTTATATTGTTTCGCCTATTACTCGAGTGACGTGTGGGAGTTTTTGACCATGGACAAGTCTGTGGAGCTCGATGAGACAGACATTTTTCTATGGCGCGTAAGTGAACTCTCTTTGCAAAAAAAAAAAAAAAAACGTACCATAAACGAATAATACATTATCTTCTCTTTTAGGGCTTTCCGTATGGAGTGTTCTGGTATGGCTTTTGTTTTGTAGGCTTTCAGATACACGGATTCACATTGTACTTCGCGTACAATCTAGTCAAGGCCTGGAAGGCACGCACAGCCACACGTAAATTTCAGTAAATCACTTGGGTCATGGAAAGATTTAAACTATATACTCGCCAAATTAGTAAAACGACAAAGCAAGAAGCTGTAGTGCTAGTTGTAAATAATTTGAAACAAAAGGAATAAAAACTATCTCTCTAGTGCACAAAAGCAAAACATAAATAATATTAAAGCAGCTGTTAGATTAACGCACGTTTTTAGTACAGTCAAGACATAATAGTTTCTGCAACAAAAAAAAAATATATATACAAATAATTACCAACGTTAAAGTTATTGTTAAAGTTAAAACGTTCAAGCGTTACATACATTACAAATGATAAATCTATGAAGAATTACCTATATATACATACAATACACATGCAACCTTATAAAGTCGAGTCGACAACAATGCAACTGAAGCCACCAAATTTCCCAATGCAAAAAGGAAACAAAACAACAACAAGATATAAACTTAATATTCTTTTTTGTGGTCTACTTACATTTCGACGTGCCTCGTGTTTGTTAGAAACGGTTAATATATAATTATTAAGTACTTACGTTTATATTGCTATATATACGATAAAGGAGTACATTTGAAACTATTAGGTTTTAAACAAAACTATCGAAATGTTTTTATTGCGTTTATGTTTTTAATTACTTTAAAATGCACATGCGTTAAATTCATTTGTCGTTTAATGTATGTGTGTCAATTGTTTTTGTAAACTGCCCAAAAATATATATATTTTTATTGTACGAATTAACGATTTACGATTATTTAATTGCGAGTTGACTGTTTAAATATAGTCAATGTTCTCAACAACAAAAATAACAAATTTGTAAAAGAAATAATGTGAAATGTATTGAAAAAATTTCACGAATTTAAAAACGGTTTTTTCGAATGGTCATTTACTGTCAGAATTTATAAGTAGTTTTTAAAAATCAATCAATAAAGATGCATATATATTTGTTCTTCTGAGTGGGTTAAACCATAAATGTGTATTTATTAAATGGAGGCAGTACATCAAATTAGGTATACAGATCTGTAGCAATAATTTCAAATAGATAAGAATAATTTATATTCTATATAAATTGGATACATATACATATGTACTTATGTATGTATTGGTCACTCAAAGTATGCAACAGAAATTTTACATTTAAAGCTGCGGCTGTTGCACCAACAGAGGCCATGTTGCTACATGTGAAATTCAATGGTGTTGTAGATGCATAACAGCAGCAGGCAAACATGCAAACCTCCCCAATATGTTCACCATTTTCACCAGCTGAGTTTGGCCCAAACATGCAGTGCTGCTGACCAGCCAACATTGTGTCCAGTCAGTGGCCGTTTGTGCAGCGCGTCGTGACGTCGCGTCGCTTTGCTGCAATTGCCAAGTTGCGCAACTCGCACAGCTGAGAGAAGAGAGAAAGCCAAATAAAGGAGAGGGAAAAAGATAGAGACCGCCGCAACAAATGAGAGCAATGGCTGCTGGCGCACAGCTTCCGCAGCATCAAGCATTTCCGTTCGCTCTCAGCACATTTCGACATCGCCTGTAGGAACACAACAGACGCCAACATTTTTCAACAGTTTTTGGCCAAAAGTAAACAAGTGAAATTTAAAAAAAAAAAAAGAAAAATTCCAATAAATAAAAATATCGAAAATTGAAGTATTCATTTCTGGTAATACGTGAAATTCAAGTTCAAAGATGCGCGGCGAGGAGACCTACAGACGCACCACACGCGAAAAGATTGTTCTGCGTGGCAATACCACCATACGCACCGTGGACTCCACTTCCACATATTTGCCTATGATGGGTGCAGGGTGAGTAAGCAGACCACAAATTTTCCCCCATCCGCCTGCCAGAGGCGTGCCGGGCCACTTTAACGTGCCTTGACTGCACTTTTTCCTCTCACTGCGTATTGATTTTTATCTCTGGCAGCTGATTTGTCTATAAGTAGATATGTGTACTATGTAAAGGCGACCTTCGTTTGCCTGATCTGCTGCTGAGCTTGAGTTAAATTGTTGACAAGACACTCCAAGCAAATGGGCCATATATACATTTTATATATGTATGTACATAACGACTTGATATTGTATGATATGTTGGCATCGGGACTGGCTACTAAGCCTGCATGCAAGCGCGCAATTAATGCCGGCATAAACAAACGACTAATTATTATAAAAATTATTGTAATACATTCTAATCCCTTTGAATATGTATGTGTGTAAGCGTGTGTGTGTATGATTGAGCTGGTCGCAGAAATCGATGGTTTCTTTTCGCTGAGTTTGAGTTCACTTGGGCTAGCGTGCGTTGACCATTGGACGCTCAGGTGGAGGCAATAACTGAGGCAACAAAAACTCTAAGCAATACTTCCTTTAACCTCATTTCATACTCACACACACACATGCACCGGTAACCAGAAACTACCCGCCAAACAAATACTGAGCTTGCTTCTTTTGTTGTGGACGAAAGCGTCGTCCGTTGTCCAGTTTTGTGGTCAGTTGGGCTACAACCCTTGGGGCCGACACACGTCGAGCGTCGCATTATTTTCGAGTTTTCCGTCAGACTTGAGCATAATTCGAAAATTCATAGTCAATCTTCTAAATTGCTAGTGTTCTTGATAAAGAAGCAATTGCTGTTGCTGACAACCGACAGCCATGTTCAATACGAATGCGCAAAATTGGTTTGGCATGGGCCAATCGGTTGCTGAACCTCCAACAACTGGCGGCCACATGAATCAATCGCTCAACAACAACAATAATAGCAACAACAACAACAACAACAATAACAATCAAATTAACAATGGACTACAGTCACAACCTTTTATGCGTCAGCGTACACTGGCCAGCTCCAATCCTGCATTGGAGCGCACTGCGCTCGTAGTCCGCCCACAATCTCCGCCCAACGTTCAAGTGGAGTATGAAGTGGCCATGCCCTTTATGTCTGGCTACCGGCACACACCATATCATTCGCTCTGGGATCTGCATCAGTGGTAAATATATACATACATATATAGTGCGTACTCCATAGTCCGATCTTGAGACTCGTTTGGTTTTCCTCGAATACATTCTTTAGGCATGACTTTGTTGAGTGGCTCTGCCATTTACGTCTGATTGTCGTTTTTTTCTTTCTTTTCTTTTCATTATTGTGAAAGCTTAGAAATTTGTTAACATTTCAGGCCCCAACTTCAAAATTAAATGGATATTTAGCAACAGTTCTGTCCATTTGCCGGTGTTTCAAACTCTTTTTTCCAACGATTTTCATGTCTTTTCCACGACTGTAATAGGAAAAAAAAAATGTTCAGCTTGCGGTTATAGTCTGAACACTTCTTGAACAGAACTCCAACCAATTTTCTACAGAAACGTTTGTGTCACTTCACTATAATAAATTGATTCGCACAAAGACGTAAGTTTCCCAGTCCTTCACCTACTGTCAGACGCCTCGCTGACCCGACTTGACGTTTCTACCAGTCATAATTGCCATTGGTGGTTATTTGCATAAATTGACGGTTCCTTGGGTTGCCTTTTTGTGGAACTGAAATTAACATAAACACCTTTTGCAGTGCCATGCATGAGCCGTAACTGGCTCATAAAAACAATGAAGGCGACTCGACTAGAGAGGATGAGAACTGAGCTGAGCTGTCAAATAATCTAGATTACAGTTTTTGTCAATTATTTCTAGCCTTGGGCCACTTCAGCCATCAATCAAGCGTGATATTTATATAGCTGAGTACTGAGTATCGAAGCTCTATTGATATATACATATACATACATATAGAAATAGGTCAAATATGCGGATCATCCGCTATAATGACTCTACAAGCGCAAAAGTTGCCCCAGTTAGGCAGCTAATCACATACAAATCTCTGGCTCTGGAACGTGGGTGCCTGTTGGCCGCCGTATCAGAAACATTAACCCAATTGTTTATGGGCGCGCAATAAGAACACATCCGGTTCAGAGAAAAATGGCCGACTGCAGCCAACTTAATTAGTCTGGCAGAACGATGTAGAAAATATGTAGCATACTTTTCAGCGTGCGAGAATTTTCGTTGATAAAGGCTGCAACAAAAACGAAATGTGGCAACATGTACTCGGTAAATAAGTTGTTAAATTGGAGTTAAGAACGATGACGCATGCGAATGTCAACAATAACAATTGAAGCCGGCACGTCAATAACCTGGGTGGCATTCCATCGCCCAGGTTTAATGAACTCTCGTACTGTTTTGCATATGTATATATGTCTGTGTGTATATGTGTATGACAGGCGCAGTTTTTAGCCACACGAACTAGACTTCCTAGAAATAACTCATGTGCACGTGTGTGTGTGTGTGTGTGTTTGTGTTTGTGAGTGTGGGGTGGTTAAAGCAAACGACTCTAAATGTTGCTAGACTAGACTAGACTAGACAAAGTTTGACTGGACTTGAAGCGGCGCACGCAAAGGGACTTGGATGTCGCCAGCTGATAAGCCAAACAAATGACCTTAGCCAAGTTGAATGTGCAGGGCCAATGGCGTGCTGCAGCGTTTATCATGCATGCTGATATTATTTAACCCTTCTCCTACTTCACAGCTCAGCCACGCCACCAGCAAGCTTATCCCATATGGCGCGTATGATGGACTCCTTGATCCTGGACTCGCTGTCACCGTACGCCTTCACCAAAATCACCACCACAAGCCGACCCCCACGCACTAGCAATTGTAGCAGCAGCTTGAAGAAGCCCGCGGCGGAGAATGTGCAGCATACGCAGCACATCAGCGTCAATCCTCATCGACCCATTAACAATCTGGGCGCCAATGCACCCAATGGCCTGGGCATCGGAGGTGCGATGCCGACGCGCGGCAAGCAACAGCGTTTGCCCACACAAGGTTTGTGCCAGAAGTGTTCCTTTGTCTGCTCACCCAACAATTAAACACAGTCTATGATGCAGAGGTTGCCCCGCAGCCGCGTCCCAGCCACACAGCAATGCCGTTTCCCTCGCAACAGCAGCAGGACACGCGCTGGGTATCCTCATTGCGGCGCCGCGATCCGGAGCTGCAGCCAACGCTGCCCTCGATCAACAGCAATCTGAACAGCAACAGCCTGAGCCAGAGTCATCATGGCAGCGCTGGCAATGTGGGCCTCGGGGCAAACAACTCGGGCAGCACCACGGGCATTGGTCTACGGCTGAGTCGGCCCGGCAGGGCCTCCGCTCTTACAGCAGCCGTGCGCAAGAGTCGATCCGTGGAGCGATTGCGCGCCCGCAAGCTGAGCACCAACACGCAGATGACACTGAAGCAACGGCCGGTTAAGAAGAACTCGTTGGACGACAACTCCAATTCAGATGATCAGGATGCAACCACATCGATAGAGGACAATTCGCATGTCCAATCGACCACACACAATACACCCAGATGCTCACCAAAGATCAAGATCAAGCACTTCTCGCCGCTGGGCTACGAGGGCCACCTGGTCGATACGCTCGAGAAGGACATACTGCAGCGACATCCGTGCATCAAATGGACTGAAGTGGCGGGTCTCAACGAGGCCAAGACTATATTGCAGGTGAAATTGATTGAGTATATTCGATTTTCGTATCCAACCAGAATCCAATTTCTTCCGAATGTTATTTTACCCAGAAGAATTTTCTGATTGCAGGAAGCCGTGGTGCTGCCCATTATAATGCCAGAGTTCTTTAAGGGAATACGCCGACCATGGCGCGGCGTGCTAATGGTCGGTCCGCCAGGCACGGGCAAAACGATGCTGGCCAAAGCCGTGGCCACCGAGTGCGGCACAACCTTCTTCAATGTGTCCTCCTCCACACTAACATCCAAGTACCGGGGCGAGAGCGAGAAGCTGGTGCGTCTGCTCTTCGAGATGGCCCGTTTCTATGCGCCGAGCACCATTTTCATTGATGAGATCGATGCCCTCTGCGCATCGCGCGGCAGCGACTCGGAGCACGAGGCTAGCCGACGCTTTAAAGCAGAGCTGCTCATCCAAATGGATGGCCTGAATGCTGGCCTACAGGATGATAAGATCATCATGGTGCTGGCGGCGACAAATCATCCCTGGGACATTGACGAGGCCTTTCGCCGACGTTTCGAGAAACGCATCTACATACCGCTGCCGAATGGTGAGAGCTCTCTAGCAGGGGCATTCACACCTAAACTGACCATTTTGTTACCTTTGTTTCGCAGAGGAAACACGCGCGGCGCTGCTGAAGCTCTACCTTAAGGATGTATCGCTCTCATCAGATATCAATACGACAGTGATTGGCGACGAACTACAGGGTTATTCCGGCTCCGATATTAGTAATGTGTGTCGCGATGCCTCCATGATGGCGATGCGTCGTCTCATCTCTGGCCGCACGCCGCAGCAGATCAAGCAAATACGCCGCGAGGACGTGGATCAGCCGATCACACTCAAAGACTTTCAGGATGCACAGCAGCGCACCAAGAAAACTGTTTCGGCTGACGATGTGGCACGTTTCGAGAAGTGGATGGAGGAGTATGGCTCCTGCTAGTTGTACGATCTTTGTGCTGTCGCAGCACCAAATTTATAAAGTCCCCCTCTCCGCACACCCATACGTATGTACTTCCAATACGCAATATTTTATTTATTGTAAAAACTATATGTACCGCTGATATATAACCATATACAGAAAAAAAAATGTGTTTTCTATATAGTTAATTGCTCAAGAGCCCACACTCCCCAAATTATGCTCTTCATGGACGCACATACACATAAACATAGAAACGTGTGTACTTTTTTTAATACATATTTATTCGACAGAATCCTACTGTAAGCTTATAGCAACAAATTGTATTTTGTAATCAACATATTTAGAACGGAAAAACGTAATAAATTAATCAAACACCCAACGGCATTATATTTATTTATGTAGATCTAGGCCCGTAGCTTATCAATTGTATTCTTGTAATCCTGCTCGATGAGCGCATACTCCTCCTGCAGCTGTTCCATGCGCTGTTTAACGTTGGGCAAACGTGCCCGCAACATCTCCGTATCCATTTTATAGCGTTCCATCTTTTGAAGATCCTTCAGCTGTTTGTAGTAAACGGCATTTAGACGTTTCTTAACTTCCAGACGATAGGCTTTATATTCCTTTTCATCATGCACGTTGGTGTAGTATAGGCGCAACAATTCATATACCTTGCGCACCTGGCGTGGATTCAGTTTTAAGGTCTCGCGTGCCTCTCGCACCATTTCCTTGGTGAAACCCTTCTTGATTATATCACGGGAAAAACATTTCAGCTCCAGACACAGGCGTGCGTCCACAAAGTTACGCAATCTTTGGAAGTCCTCGGATGGATCCTCAACGGTTATGTCCACCACATTCTTCTGGCTCTGATAGAACTTGTATATTGTTTCTACTAGCTGTGTGGCCAGACCCAATTTCTGGAATGGCGGCAAAATTAGCATTTGGCTAATCCGCGGACGCTTATTCTGCGGATATGCATAGTACTCATAGACAGTGGTGTAGCCAGCAGTTGCATACTGGTATTCGCCATCCTTATTCTTATATTTTTCATAGCTAAAACAAATTAATTGGACTTGAAAAGAAATCGCATATCGTATACGAAATTTAAATTACCAGATAAAGTAACACCACTGGGCATCATCGGTGTCGATATAGGATGCAGCGTCAACAAACCATAGTATAAACGTTTGCAGACGCGTGAAGAACTTTATAAACGACGATGATTTGTAGTCACATTGATAGATTTCGAAGAGTCGTTCGCTGCCATCGTCGGCGCGCCGAGTGTATTCGCTGAGCTTCTCGCCAAATGGCTGAAACTTGTCGGCCTTGTCAAGCGTCTTGAGAAACTCATCCAGATTAATGAAATAACAACCGTCTGGGAGACTTTGGGCAATTGTGGCGACCACATCGTCAGCTTTGATTTCTCCGCCAGATATTTCATTGACTCGTTTCTCGTACTCAACGCCCAGATAGATATGCAACGGACCAGCCGTATACAGAACTCGCACGTGCAGTCCCTGATAGCCAAATATGGTCTCCGACTCACCGAAAATCTGATGGGCCATGGCGGGGTGAAATATCAAGGCATCGTTGTTAATGTCCGTCTTGTCACGTACTGCAGGCGGGTAATTGAAAACTTGAGTGCGACACGATTAAATAATACAATCCTCGACTTACTCAGCTTGAACTCCACCGCCTCAAGGGCATCGAGCACCAGATCCTGATATTCCTGAATTTGTGCCATTTTGTTGATTATCTTTCGCCTGATCCGCAAATTGGCGCGCAAAATGTGATTGTAATTGTAGCGTCGAAATAGCAAACGCTTGCGACACTGTGCAAGGAGTTAGTTTTCGAATAGCGTAACGTAGTTTCTTGACAAAAATAAGAATTTGTATGCACTTTTCATAAAACAATTGATAAATTTACTTATTTAGCGAATTTCTTTCGCGGCTTAACAAAGGCTGAATTACAAGTGTTGTGCAGTGTAGCTAAAATGCAGCATCAGGGATGCACAACTTACCGTACGTTTGCGCGCTTTAGGTTTTTTAGTACATTTGCTATTTCTTGTTGATACCCATCTTCTTTTATGACTTGGCATTTTGTATCCTAAAATTTTAAATTTTCTGTTATTTATTTTCAAATTTTTCTATCAGTCTAGTTATGAAATTTGCTTCAATTTGAAAATGCATTGTTTGTTAGACACTGCTCAACACTGATATTACGCGCAGCCAACTTAACATCATTTGTAAGCAAATTTCTGCAGAGTCTTGATCGAAATTCACCGCATTTATTTGCTTCTGCCCCAGAAAAAAGTTTTCGAATAACAGCAACCGCAAATAGGGCGGCAAATAGTTAAGTTTATTCCGTTAAACAACCATAAATACGCCTTGCTTTAGTACTACGTAACAAAATGTAAGTATCGGCACAAAAAAAAATTGCCTTGTCATACCTGCGATTTACAACAACAACTTCAACAATAATTTGAACTATTGAAATTTTTATTTGAAGTTCATTATGGATACCTATTTGTTTGATGGCGGTCGCATTACCAAAATGGAGGTGGACTATGAACCTGCTTGCAATGAGAAAATCCCCATGGCCATGGAGCTGGCCAAAAAGAATCCCGACGCCTTTCATGAAGCAATCGAAATGATGCTCCAGCTGGAAAAACAAACACGTCTGGGTGCTGACATGGTATCCTGCTCGCGTGTATTGGTGGCCATCTGCCAGATATGCCTTCAGGCAGGCAACTGGAATGCATTAAACGAGTACGTCTCGTTGCTCGTGCGTCGCCGTTCGCAACTGAAACAGGCGGTGGTCAAGATGATCCAGGAATGCTGCACATATGTGGACAAGACGCCCGACAAGGAGACCAAGCTGAAGCTGATCGATACATTGCGTTCTGTAACGGAAGGCAAAATCTATGTAGAAATTGAACGTGCACGTTTAACTAAAACTTTAGCGGACATTAAAGAAGCTGACGGAGATGTGGCAGGTGCAGCTGCAGTCATGGAAGAGCTACAAGTAGAAACATATGGCTCGATGGACAAGCGTGAGAAAGTCGAACTCATATTGGAGCAAATGCGTCTGTGTCTGCTAAAAGAGGACTATGTGTCCACCCAGATCATCGCAAAAAAAATCAGTATCAAATTTTTTGATGATCCGGCACAACATGATCTTAAGCTTAAATTCTATAATCTGATGATACAACTGAATCGCGATACATCATTTCTGAATACCTCGCGTCACTATCAAGCCATTGCGGAGCCACCACGTAAAAAGAAGCCAGCAGCCGTAGAGTCCTCCACGAGTGATGAGAAGAAAAAGGGTGACGATAAAAAGACAAAGGAGGAGGACGATAAGAAATCAGAGGCCGATGTGGCTGTAGAACCAGAAATAGAACTCACAGATGCACAGAAAAAGGAGCTCACAGACAAGCTGGTCTGCGCTGTGATCTATTGCGTGCTGGCTCCCTTTGATAATGAGCAGAGCGATATGATGGCGCACTTATCAAAGAACAAGAAATTGGAGGACGTCCCGGCATATAAGTAAGAGTGCCTACCAAAATTAATTAAAAAATACAATACTAACTTATGTTCTTATCTTAAAGAGAAATACTGCGTCTGTTCATGTCGAAGGAGCTTATAAACTTCGATACATTTAATGCAGACTTTGGCATGATTTTGGCTGAGAACGAAATGTTCAAGGATAACAGCAAGCATGGCAAGAAATGCATCACTGAGCTAAAAGATCGATTGATAGAACACGTACGTTTTTTTCACAATGTCTTAAATGCAGCTTTCTAACTATTCCTGTCTTTTAGAATATACGTATCATAGCGATGTATTACTCACGATTGCACTTGACGCGAATGAGTGAGCTGCTGAATTTACCCACTAATCGCTGTGAGGAATATCTTTCAAAATTGGCGAACAGTGACACAATTCGCGTGAAGATTGATAGACCGGCTGGCATTATCTATTTCACCACAAAGAAGAGTGCTTCGGATATATTAAACAATTGGGCAACCGATGTGAATCAGCTGATGTCCTTGGTCAACAAAACATGCCATTTGATCAACAAGGAGGAGTGCGTCTACTCAGTCATGTGTGCTGTCGAAGATTAGAAGCATTTTAGGTTTATTCTGTTCTTACAACATCAACCCACATACAAACATTTATTGTAATACTAACTAACCAACTTCAAATTCAATATTTTGCAAACATTTGTATTCATTGAATGAACTACAATAATTAAAACCAAACTCACCATTTAAATACCTGTTCTATCAATATTTACTATCGCTTTGCCGCCATAGCAACGATTAAACTAATTTACCGATTCTATCGACTTATCGATCAATCCCCAAGCAACTGCTACAGCCCTGTTTATGTTCTCGGTGGTTAGAAGATAAGAAGAAGAATAAGCTTTGGGCAGTGTTTTTTTTTTATCACTGCATTCGCCTAATAAATAAATCAATCTATTTCAACAACGTACGAAATGCCAAAGGAAAATTGTAAATACTGGGACAAATGCTATCAGCGAAATGAGGCACATCTAGAAAAATACAATCACCCTCCCAAGCAAACAGAATCGGAAAAATTGGCGCCAAAACGCAGAGCAACCACTGAGGAGGACGATAAAAGTAGCCCAAATACAAGCAGCAAAATGGAGACATCAGATGTGGAAAAAAATGTGGGTAAATATGAGTCGGAGACGGCGGAATTGCACAAGGAGGCAATGAATAATATTGCTGGCAAAAATTATATGGAAACATTAGAAAAACGCATACGTTTGTCGGTGCAACATGAGTACGATAATCTATGTGAGAGCAATGAGTTTATTAGGCACAAATTTCTGGTGGAGATGCCCGAAGATTTCTATGAATTCTGGAAATTCATTAACACTCTAAAAAAGAATACCACTAAAGACGCAGCTCTTCAACATATTGAAACGGTATTCCATCTGCAGCTGGTTGGTCCCTTCGAGTTTTTGGCTGGTAAATTTCACAATGCCAAAATGGGTGAGCCTGGCGATTATTTGCGACATTGGCGTTTCTATTATGATCCGCCCGAGTTCCAAACCGTGTTTGTGCGTCAGGGCACAGGCATACACTACGGCTACTGGCGCGATATACCGCAGGACAAAGAGCGACTGATGCTGGCCCGCAACGATGCGACACGCAGCTGTGAGTTCGAGTTCGTGGCTGGCAACATATTTGATGCGTTCCTCCACTATCTGCAGCACGACTATGTAGCCACACCATTCACCACAGGCCAAGTAGCAGCCACCAAGAAAGCTGTGAAGCAGTATATAAGCGATAACTCGCTGGAATTGTCGCAGCTCGAAAGTTTGAAGACTGAACGGGATAAGCACGTTGTAACCAAAACATTGCATCGGGCTGGCATTGTGGTACCCTACGAGCGCAAGACACAGCAGGGCTATCGCCCTCTATTGGTCAGCGATGCAGATCTAAAGAAAATTTTTGCTTTGCTCGAACCCAATGATCTCAACGACAGAGACAATGCCAAACAGGAGGTGCTTGAGAAATTGCAACCATTGGCTAATGCGGCTAACATTGCGATGGATGAATGTGATTTTGGCACTGCGTTGGAGCTGGGTCTCGACCTGTTTTGTAGTGGACACAAGGAGCTGCATATGCTGGCCTCCTCGCTACTGATGCCTGCTTATTCTCTGCTCTCACGGCCACAGTTCATTGCCATTTCGAAGGCGCATATGGAGCGGCGCAGTAAAGATCTTAATTTAAGCATGTTTGAAGTATTAAAATAATATACTCTTTTACACTACCGTTAGCAGATTAATTGAGTGATGGTTGTATTTTATTTGCAACCGCAACCGTTTATTTGAATAAAAACAACCATCCAAAACTTATGTGCACTTCCTTTACATGTACAAGTAGGAGCTATCCTTGGCTGGCGGCAAATACCGTTGAATGCACGGTACGCCCATCTTCTTCAGCAGCTGCAGGACTGGCTGAGCAGCAATTACATCCAGGGGCAGTTTGTCTGTGTAGATGACATAAGAGCTGACAGGTAACTCCATCTGAGTACGCCAGCTAGCAACTGCAAATGGAACCAATTTAAATGCATTACTCAACTTATACAAAATTAAATTAACACTTACTGCCTGCTGCCACGCCAGCTATAAAGTTGGGTGCTTCCAGCTCGGTTATTGTTTTGTCATATCCCTTGCCACCCACACTGTGAACAATGGCCACGTACTCGCTGTATCTGTCGATCTCCTCACTCTTGTAATCCACCTTCGGTTTTATGGTGATGGTGAGCACTTGTTTTGCCAGCTCTGCATAGGGTATGAGCAACTCTGTAATTTCGCCACTGCTGGTCAGATCTTCTTCTAGAGTAGCAATCAGATGTCCCTTTGAGGCATTCCAATGCAAAGTGGAAGTTTTTGCTGGTATCTCGCAAACGAGCTTGGCATCTTCGAGTAACGCGCCACGGCAAAACTCTGTTATGAATGGACCTTCGATAAGCACGAACAGTTCACTGGCAAATGGAGCTTCATCCGAACCATCCATAAATTTAAGCTGCGCTCTGTTGAAGGCGCATATTAAATTAGTGAGAGTATGCTATAAACAAACCAAAACTGCAAACTCACTTTGTGGCCGGCTCAATGCTTTCGAATTCGTCTTCCTCGCAATCATCCCAAAACGCACGGGAAGAGGGTATTCTTACTTCGCCAAAGCCTGGACAACTCATTGTATTCTTAATAAATTCAAAATTGGGTTTCTACAGAAAAATAATTAAATGTTGACTATTTTATTCAAGTCATTTTCAAAAGTATCGTATGAGCTTACTTCGTTGGCGTTAATTCTCTACAAGTATTTTTAAGTAGCAGTTGCTCTTGCTATTTAATATTTCTCGGTAACAGGGACCATGAGTTCAGAAAGTATTTATCTTAGAGCACGACTTTTATTAGCTAATTGCGCCTATTTTCTAACACATTTTTATAGCTTTAACAACACACTTGTAAAATAAAGTAGTGATTCAATTTGTCGCACGTATATCGATATAGTGTACTGGCATACCTGTCTGTTAAAAACGATAAGTTTCGTTAGCAAACATCGTTATCGATGCTTTTTACATCCTTACTGGGAAGCTTGCACAAACAAATTGATTTTTCTCCCAAACTAACTGTAGCTCCACTCTAACGAATAAATAAATATATAACAAAACTAAGGCGTGTAAGCATTTTATCAAACACGACAAACAAAGATGACAACATCGCAAGTTGACCAGGTGAGCAAGGATCCGTTATTTCAACTGTGACTCCTTTGCACTTTTGTAATACATACAAGCACAAAAAAAAATTGCCGCCATCATGAAAAGCAAAATTTTGCATTATTTTACAGAAACGTGCCCTAATCAAGTTAAAGCATGACTTGGAACCTTTTCGCAACGCCATTGTAAGTGGATATGGTGTTCTTACCTGGGAAAAGCAATACTATGCCGGCGTCGTCTTTGGCGCCATCAGCATAATGTATTTGTTGCTATGGTACATGGATTTGTCCTTCATAACTCTATTCTCATTGCTGGCCTTATTGGCATTCTTCATGGACTTTGTCATTCCGATGCTGTCGCGGTTGGTCTCCAATGGTGGGAATTGGGATGGTGAACAAGAGGCTAAATTTGAGGAAGTGTGCGGACAGATATATAACATTAAATCAAGTATCATTGATTGGTATGATTATCTGTTCAAGGAGCGCAAGCCAACAATGGTAAGCACTTTGCGCATATAGTTGACAATAAATGTAATTGTAATTCTATCACACAGGTTGTGATCATTATAAGTTTTGGCCTACTGGCTCTAGCTTGGATCGGTGCCATTATAAACAATCTTTTGCTAATGTATTGTGCTACTGTTCTGGTAGCCATGTGGCCGGGGTTGAATGAGAAAGATGTGTTCAAGTCCCTTACCCAGAAGGCTTCTAAGATAATCAATGATAAAATTCAATATGGCAAAAAGAAGTTGCAGTAAATCGCTACTTATGTTTATTAAATTATTACATGGACTATTAAATAAATCTCATCAATACACAATCACTCACGTGCATACACACAAACACAAAATCCAGCGTATTCGACGGAAACAAAAAACAAAAAATAAGAAAACACATTCGAATATATAACACTAAGTCATTTACTTGCCATCTCATTCATACATCCTAATCAATAAATATAGTATATCGTAAAATATAAGTATGCTGTGGGCATATTAAAAGTATTATCATTCACATAACTAGCGAAAATCATAAACTTAAGGCATTTTGAAAACCTATAGATCACGACATTTCTAATTCTAAGTTTGTATGGGCCCCAAAGATTCTCAAAGAAAGACATATTTGTGATTTTGAGTTAATTGAAATTTAATGATAATCGTGCATATATATGAAAACTATGCGTCTTCTGATGATACATGTTTAAATAAAATAAAGTTTTCAAATGAATCAACAATTGAGTAATTTGATTTTCTGTCTTTGTACTACTTGGCACGCCCATTACGAGAACGGGACCGAGAACGCGTGCGGGAACGATCTTGTTTACTTTTCTTTGTTTTCTTTTTTTGATGACGTCGGCGTGCTCTGTCGTCCGCGCTACTATTGAAATCCTCACTTGTGGTTGAAGAACGCCGATGTCGGTGTGATTTACTTTTTGATTTCTTTGACTTTCTTTTCTTGGATTTACTGCTGCTGCTTCCAGTTTTTGACTTCTTTTTGGACTTTCGCTCGTAGGCGGAATCACAATCGCTTTCTGTTGATTCGTCCGTATCGTCGGCTTCATCCGAACTGCTTTGCTGTCGCCTACGACTGCTTGATTTAGATGTGCTACTACTCTTCAGAGCATCCTGATCACGTTCATGGTAACGACTACTTCTGCTGCTCTCATCTTTTCCTCGGTCTTCTGCTTTATAAGGTTTTCGTTCCTCTCTTTTATGGGATGTACTTTGTTCGTCCTTGTAGCCTCTGCTCTCAATTCGACGCTCATCATGGTTGACACTGCGATGCTCTGTTTTATGAGGCTTCCTCTCTTCGTCTTTTGTTCTATACGATTTACGCTCATCCTCACGCAATCTATCTCGACTCTCTGTCTTTATATTGGTTCTCTCAGTTGACTTTTCCTGCTTGATAATAATTTGGCCGTGCTCGTTTTCCTGCTTCTTAAACTCCTCGTATTTCGCTGTATCTGTAAGCGATGGGAGCTATTAATAAATTTGATCAAACTTAATTTGTGCTTAATAACTATGTATGTGATTGCCACTTACTTATGCACTTTCCGTACTGCGAGTATTCCTTGCGAGAGACGGGCTGGCATAGAAACTCATTAAATGCCTCCTTGTTACCTCCTATCGCCATTTTAACAATCACACGACCTGCATGATCGTCAAAGCCCTCAATCTGTCCATACTGATCTTTTTGCTTGCCACCCAAGATGCGCACGTAGGCTTGCTTTTTAATTTCCAATATTTCGTTTTTCTCGGGCTGCACCAGCAATGCCTTCGGTTTCAAAGCTTTGTCCGCGCCCAGTCCCATTCCTTTGGGCCTCAAAAAAGGCGCCTCATCCACTGGAGCTGCGCCTTTTTTCTTGGGGGGCGGATCCACCCAGCCCATGCCGCGCAGCATCGCCAAACCAAACTGTTGTATTGGTATTGAGTCATAGTCGTCCAAGGTTGCTTCTTTGGCGCCATCCAGTGGCAGCTCATCAGCTTTCAGCGCCGGTAAAACAAGCTTTTCATTGTCTATGATATCGTTGCCGTTGGCGTTCGCGGCTGCAAGTAGCTCGCGTGCGGCGCGTTGCTCCAAGCTGGCACCCTCGCTATTAGCAGTTACTTCAGCGATAGATTGCGGCTCGGCAGTGGACTCTTCGGGGTCGGCGTCTTCTTCGCCCAACAAAACAGCTCGTCGTTTCATTAGACTTGCCAGCGCTGTGGATGTTTTCTGAATAGTAGGCATTTGTATAACAAGAGGTGCAACTTCTTGTTTTTCTCTATAAACAGAATATAAAACTAGATTTATATTGCTTAAATAATTTTTATTAAAATAATTAACTAACGTGACCAGTTTGATTTCCTTCCCTTCGAGACATTTGATAAGCTCTACTTTGTTTTCTTCTTTTGTAACTTTGCTGGGCAAGATGTTTGGCTTTTTCGACACCTTGGTGAAGCCAAAAGATATCTTTTTAGTATCCATGGCGTACCTTTTACATACGTTTATAAACAAAAATTAAACAGCTGTGATAACTCTATGGCCAATGATTGAAATTATATCGATAAGCTATCGATATATCGAGTCTCTTTATTGGCGCTGCGAAATTAAATTATTTTCATCTTGCAGAATTTTGATTTTAAGTAATACAAGTTTTGTGTAGATGTGCGCTGAACAATAATATTTACTTGTAGCACGAAATAATTATTTAACAGCCACTAAAACATATGTTATCGAATCTTCTGGAACCGTGTGCCAGCATTTCTAACCTCAAAAACAAACGTCATTCTCTTTCGAACAGCGGCAACAGCGAATCGCGAGGCACGAGTTCTATTATTTTCACATAGAAATTGATAAAAAATAACAAGAAACATGTTTGGTGGACAGCAACCAATACTCGTGTTGAGTAAGTTATAAAATTTCATTGAATTCTGACAATTTACTATCTTAATATTGTCGTCTAGGTCAAAACACAAAAAGAGAATCGGGCCGCAAAGTGCAGTTGGAGAATATTCAAGCCGGAAAGGTATGTGTGTGAGTGTGTGTGCTAGTATGTGTGTAATGCTTGTGACTCACATGTCTCTTTGCGTCTATCGAGCAAATTTGGCCATCTGTTTACAAGATTGTAAAATTACGGATAATTTCAGGCTATTGCCGATGTGATACGCACCTGCTTGGGCCCCCAGGCCATGCTGAAAATGTTGATGGATCCCATGGGCGGCATTGTGATGACCAACGATGGCAATGCAATATTGCGTGAGATAACTGTGCAGCATCCAGCAGCAAAGAGCATGATTGAAATTGCACGTACGCAGGATGAGGAGGTTGGTGATGGTACCACCTCTGTGATTGTCCTGGCTGGTGAAATGCTAGCCGCCGCCGAACCATTCCTGCAGCAGCAAATCCACCCAACAGTGATCATTCGAGCCTATCGTGAAGCCCTCGAAGACATTGTCAATCATTTGCAGACCGATTTGAGTGTCCAGTTGGATGTCAAGGATAAAGCCAAAATGGCTGATGTGGTCAAGGCCTGCGTTGGTACCAAATTTATTGGCAAGTGGTCTGACATGGCTGTGAAGATTGCTTTAGATGCTGTTGAGACTGTGACGCTGAATGAAAACGGTCGATTGGAGGTGGACATTAAGCGGTAGGTAGTTTAAATATCTGATCTGAAAATTAACTTAATTTTATAATGTACAAAGCTATGCAAAAGTGGAGAAGATTCCCGGTGGCGCTATTGAAGAATCCTGTGTGCTGAAAGGTGTTATGCTCAACAAGGACGTAACACACCCTAAAATGCGTCGGTACATTGAGAATCCACGCATTGTACTGCTGGATTGCTCACTTGAATACAAAAAGGGCGAAAGCCAAACCAATGTTGAAATCATTGGCGAGCAGGACTTTACGCGCATGCTGCAAATTGAAGAAGAGTTTGTGCAGCGCGTCTGTGCTGATATTATTGCAGTAAAACCGGATCTGGTATTCACTGAAAAGGGTGTCTCTGATCTGGCACAGCATTATCTGCTTAAGGCGGGCATCACTGCCATTCGACGTCTACGCAAGACGGACAATTTGCGCATTGCTCGCGCCTGCGGTGCTACCATTGTGAACCGTACTGAGGAGCTGACAGAGAAGGATGTTGGCACTGGTGCCGGACTATTCGAGATAAAGAAAATTGGTGACGAGTACTTCACATTTGTCACTCAGTGCAAGGATCCCAAGGCCTGCACTATACTGCTGCGTGGTGCCAGTAAGGACATTCTCAATGAAACGGAGCGTAATCTGCAGGATGCCCTTCATGTGGCACGCAATCTAGTGCTTGAACCACGTCTGGTGGCCGGTGGTGGTGCTGTTGAAATGGCAGCATCCCAGTTACTAACCCGCAAGCAGGTGAAAGGACCGTACACCGCCGTGGCGCGTGCCTTGGAGATTATACCGCGCACACTGGCCCAAAATTGCGGCGCCAATACCATTCGCGCCTTGACCGCTCTGCGTGCTAAGCACGCCTCTCACACCGGCGACGGAGTCTGTGCCTGGGGCATTGATGGCGAGTCCGGTGAGATTGTCGACATGAATGAGAAGAATATTTGGGAGCCACTTGCCGTCAAACTGCAGACCTACAAGACTGCAGTGGAGACTGCTATTCTGCTGCTGCGCATCGATGACATTGTGTCGGGATCGAAGAAGCGTGGCGGCAACGAACCGACCAATCCAGCAGCCATGGCTCAGGGTCAGGAGTAGGCTGAGAACAACAAATACATTTGTATTAATAATTCTTAATATTTTAATACTTAATTTAAAACACAAACACAACAAAGCGTGTGCACACACATAAACACACACAAATGTCTAACATTTCGCCAGTTCCCTCATATGAAAAAATTCTTGTTGCATTTGCTCTCATTAACAGCACACAAATAAAACGATAATAAACCAAAACTAACTGGAATATCTTGCTTGCTTAACTGTCTATTAGAGCGTCGGCTATTAAGTGATGTAGAAACACAAAATCGAAATTATTGAATTATTAGCTTCTTTTTATTACTTGGTCGTACAAACGCTCATCCATTAGCTTCAATACTTCGATGCCAATCGACGTAAATTGCGGTTGCAAATAGCGGGCGAACAGCTCTAAGCAATTGGGCTCAGCTTGATCCTGCTCAAGCTGCAAATGTGGACGTAACCAGTCAAGGAGCGGTGGCTTGTGCGAGTGCACAATGCTGGGCACGCTAAGCAGGAATTCGGTTTGCTGCAAGTCTGCGGCATATGCCCCATCGCTCTGTGCGTGGCAGGCCAAATAGAGCTGCTCGTAGGGCTGTTTTTGTGTGGAATCCGTTTGGTTTACGTTGCAAATGAGTCGATGTGCCGTATTAAGCTTGTACCAGCGCAGTTTGTGCAGTAAACGTAGATGCCAACGTGGCAGTAGCTCTGTTTCCAGCATCGTCTGGTGTAAGTTGGAGTTCGTGCACCAAATGGCCACAATGCTGCGCTCATGTGTGAGTTGATTCAATGGCAGCAGTGCCAATTGCTCATTGTCCATCATGGCATATCCTAACTCGTGCTTGGCGCGCTTTACACGGCGTATGTATTTGTTGCGCCAGGGAGGGTCAATCACAATTATATCATAACTGGGCAACAGCTGTGGCAATAATGTGGTTAGTTGATCCACGTTATGGTTGTAAAAGCGGGTTGCATGTGGTATTATGAAAGTCTTTTCCTGTGTTTTATACTTTTGAAATTTACCGCTCATATTGCTGCCATGCATTTGCGGCAGACCATACTTTTCTTCCCAGTAGCGGGGCAGTGGTGGCAAATCGTCCACTTTGGCATCGGGCAGCAGTTCCAGGTAGCCCAGAATATTATTCTCACATGCATTGTTTTCGACTTCGTTCGGTTTGCGTTTGCGCTTCCTTAGATCTTGCTGTGACTGTTGAGTTATTTTTGGCTGAAAGTGAAACAACTGCGATTTTAATTCATATACTTCATAGTGAGGTACTCCAGCTGCGTATGCTTCATTTATTAATTGCCGGTGATTTAGTAAAATCGTGTGTTTATTGTCAATTTGATTTGATTGCAATTTTTGCATGTTTATCTGTTATATTTGACAAAGTATCGATATTTTATTATCGATTGCCATTGCCGTTACAGCAGAGAAACTCTGCTTGCGCTTACGCCGACCATCTCAATAATACAAATAAAATTCCTCATATAGGATTATTTCGATGAGCTCGGGGCAGATCAAACATCGTAGGTAGTTTCTCTTGACTTAGTCAGCAGCAAGTCCTTGTAAATCTTCCATAAATATGTTGCTCTCACTCGTTCCACCTTGTAATGCAGTATATATCCGCCTCATATTCATCATAAATCAATTTGTTAAAGCTGCTCAGGTCCACTTTAGGCACTGGGTACTTCTGTTCCATCTTCAAATGTTGCTTTGGCGACAATCAACTGTTATAATTTGGCGGATAAGGTCTGTAGCCACAAATGAATTTCATTTTATTCAGGATCTCTTTTCATATCAGGTATGTTTTTAAATTGATTTTTCATTTAATATGTGTGTTGCTCGACAAACTAACTAACAACTGGAGCTTTCAGTTAACTATGAAATTTATTAATGGGGTTCTTAAAAATAGTGATGCGCAATAATATATGGAATATTATTAGAACTTCTTTTTAGCTGAACGATTATTTCATTGTTTCAATCCAAACTCGTCATCGTTACGTATTGATAGTATATTATATATTACGGGCTTTTGCTAAACAAAACCCGTTACTAGCTGTTAATCAAATGAATGAATCGCAGCTTTTAAACTAATTTCACAATTGGTAGTAAAAGCTTCGATATTTCAATGGGACCAAGCTTTCACAATATACGGAACCAACCTGATGCCAAACAGCCAAATACCCTAAAAATTTAATATATGTATGTATATATAAAGAAATAACAATTAAAAAGATTTAGTCATTTTGCCTTATAATTTACTATATTACATTATATATGTATTTATGAACGAGATTTCTTTAATATATTTATTTATTTAAATGGAAAATTGCTGTTTCCAAATATATGCTCAAAATATTTAAATGATGAACAAAATTGTACATCTTTGTGGAATATATTATTCAGCGTTTGTTTCTAAACCAGTTTGATGAGAAATTATATTCCAATACAAATGAGATAATTTATATTTCGTGTCCATAACTTCATTTAAATAAAAAACAATAGCATAATTGTCATATAACTTATGCATTTGTGCATAAGTTTTATGAATTTGCGCATAGTATTACCTTATAGATAAACCTATCAACATAAAAGAAACCCGTGCTAATAACTAATTAACAGAGACACTATGCTTAATATCATTTACAGCATTATTTGTAAATAGCATATAAAAAATAGATTCTGTGCTGTGAACTTTTTCACTACTTAATTTCTATATTGAATAAGATTGCTAGTTCGCACCTACCAGAAGTGCACCTGTTTTAGTTTGTCGTAAATACTAAAGTACAACGCCGTCGTCATGCTGGATTTGAGGAGCGTGGGAGCAACGCCCTTGTAGAGACCCCTTACACCCTCCTGTCGCACCGTTAGTTGAAGACAATCCCAAACCCCATTACATTTTAGTGTGTGTCCGAACGTCTGTCGATTTTGCTCAAATCCCTGGATTTGCAGACGTTTTTTGACCAAGTCAAAGGGATACACAATTGTTTTCGATAGCATGCCCGAGGAAGCACCCAGCATCAAGAGAGTCCAAGTAGGCAGCTTGGTACGATCGTCCACTTCGAAAAATTTGCATGCCGACTCGCTGAACAAACGATAGGCCATGAAGTTGGTTCCCATCAAAGGGGCGATTTGTAAGAGGGCCGAAGACAAGCCCCGATACATGCCACGGATTCCCTCCTGACGCACAATGGCAGTGACGGCCCGTGTTGCATTGCTGCAATTGTTGTGAATTATTAACAAAATATATAAGAAGATAAGAATATATGTGTTACCGATATCCCTTGCTAGTGTCCTGGGCAATAAGACGTGTTCGTATAACATCTAACGGTGTGGAAATGATAACTGCCGCCGCTCCAGCCGAAGCGCCGCACATGAAGTTTGAAAGATGCTGATGATCCTTGAGGTAATTGGTTTGTTTCGCCAGAAGGCTTAGCTGCTCGTAAGTCCAGAACTGGCAGATGCCATACATAATGCTCAGCACCTGAGCGGGATTGTGACCCTTCCAGAAGGCCAACAGGCCCTCCTCCCGGTAAATGGTGCGCACAGCTTGAGTGATGGATGTGTATTTGGAGGAATGCAATGGGAGGTCAGTCTTGGAGGATGACTGTATAGGTGGAGCAGCCGCCTTGAACGGCTCCACTTGTAGTTGAAAACGTATTTTGAGTACATCCAGCGGCTGACAGGTGGAGCGCGTAATAGCTGCTGATAAGCCACCGGCAATTATTTGCTGCAGTTGCTCACGTCCGCTGTGCTTGCGCCGCTGACTGACCGCTGGGCCTGTAGTCTTGGTACATGTTGTGCTGCCAGTTACCGCCGGCGTCATGTTGCTGGCTGTCGATTCAAGCTGGCTCAACCGATGCGTTGTCAATGGCTGTGGCTGTGCTTGTCAGTGTGTGCGATTTCTCTTTTATTGCTGCGGCTGCGTCTGTTTCAGCGTTTGCGTCTTCAATGGTATTTCTGTAAATCATATGAACAACAACAGCGGAATTAATTTGCTGTTAAACAAACAAAATAGTTTTGGAGCTCTGCCGATGTCGCTCCACTGAAATCAGATTCAAGGTGCGCCCCGCCCAGTGGCCCAACCAAAATGTTTGCATAGTCATCAAATGATTGCCAAATTAATGTGTGAAATAACGATGCGATGAAATTGAGATCAGAGGGTGAACTTACAAGGTGTCATGCTCGTCGAAGCACGCTTTAATCGTTTGTTTCACCCGAGGTGCCTGTTCCGATTTGTGGTTACTACAAGTTTCTCTACAATTGCGAGGGCGCCAATTTGGTTTAGGCTTCAGTAAGATTTGGTACACAGGCTCTCATTCATTCAGGGATGGGCAAAAGATTATCGTCTTATCAGCGATTTCACTTTTGTTGCTGTTGCGCTGGAAGCCGTTGACTTGTCTGCCTAGCAGGGCTGACGCTATTGGCCACAAAACGAAGATAAAGCCATTGCATTTAATATGCAAGTCAGAAATTGGAATTGCTCACCTACCAAATATACTGAAAATCCAACTTAGTTAAGCTCGTCAATATATTCGACTGCTCGCTGTCAGAGTGCAGCGGTGACTGTTTAGCTGAGCGGCCGCACGACGTCGCTTCTTCATTACAAATTACAAGTAACGGCCATGTTATTGCGTCAAAACTTTCTTTTGCTCAGCGCTTGTCAGTATATGAGAAGTAACTGTATGTCGAGGCCTAGCTGATGTTGCTGCAGTTTATGTGAAAGACTTTACAAACCGGTTCCGAAACGCTTTTCGACTAAAACTAATTTCAAATTGAAAACAAAACTTGGCCTTAAGTTACGTCAAGTGCATGCCACAAACAGCTGTTGCCGTGCGCACCAGCTGAAAAATTGAAAGTGACACTGCTTGAGCTTTTTACCGATGTATCGATACTTTTAGTTTATTTTTGGAGCTGCCACTTGGCGTATGCCCGCGAAAGTTTATTTAAATAACTATGCAAAGGGCTTTTAATTTATAAATACGTAGGTCACACAATAACTACTTCCAACCAATGTTGCCAGAAGCATCAGCCGGTGCACTGGGTGTGGGCTGATAGCCTGGTGGTATGCTGAAGCCGAGCACTTCAAAATTATTGCCAACAGCTGGCACAGCTGCAGGTGCTTGCACTGGATACGGCGGCGCCTTTTGAACTGCTGCCGCGGGATTTGCTACTGGTGACACAGGATTTGGTGTGTAATTCACTGGCGGTACAGGCAGAGTATTCTCGGCTTTGGGATAAAGACTGGGTAACGGCGACCTGGCACCATTTGCATTTGCCGGCTGACCACTGAGTATATAGACGGGATAACGTGGCTTATACGTGTTCGACTCAAAGTGTTCTGTGCACACATCCTCTTGGAAGTTGGGTGCCACTAAAGAAAAGATCAAGGAATCAAGGAATTACTTTATAATAAAACAAGATTACTTGTAGAGGTCGCCTACTCATCGCTTGATAGCTGCCGTTCGTGTTCGGCTGTGCCTGTGCCTTCTGTCCTGGCCCCTTGTCGTCCGCACTGCCATGCAATGGCACCGTTCCAATGACCAGTGGAAAGTCCACCACCAGATCCCCACCGCCATGCAAGCGGAATGTTTTGGCAATGAATCGAAGGGTGTAACTAACCCGAATCGGATCTCGTTCATTCATTGTTGTTGGCGTTGTGGGTGGCACCATTAGAAACTCATCGAATTGCGCTTTATTGTTCTTATCCACCTCGCCACAGTGCTTATCAGCTATACGCACCTCGGTGGCTTTCAATTGCTCCTTATCGCCTGCTTTGCCGCGATAGGTCACGTTCTTGAATAGGCGCACTTTCACATCCTGGCACTGAACATCCGCTTGATTGTCCAGAACGATGTGAAAGTGGATCTTCTGGCCAGGAACATAGGCGCTGTACGAGGTGCTCACGTCCATAACCATGGGCTTTTTGCCGCCAAATATGGAGCCCCACCAAAAGGTTTTCTCCTCGATGCGCTTCAAGGGTTGCTGCAAGGTCAAGGACAAGGATTAGACCATCTATAATATCCCCATGTCCCCATGTCAAACCCACCAAATGCTCGGGCTTCGCGTTCAAATCGTTTGGCAATATGACCGTAAAGCACTGCTTGAATATATTATTATATCGCACCGCACGATCTATGGTCAAGGTCACCTCATGCTTCACCTGTCCGTGCGTGCCATTGAAGGAGGTCGGCGCCTGGGGCGGTATACTGGCCTGAAAGGGAAAGACATACTTGCCCTGGGGCAGCTCCAGTTGTGATCCTCCGCTCTGGCCGTACACATATTTATCGCTGCTGTAATAGATTTCTGTAGTGGTATACGTTTCCAGTGCCTTGACCAGCTTGCCATCAGCACCAGGCTTTTCGACACTCTCCTGCCAACGCGTCTCAACGAAACCGTTCACGGTTATATAGATAGCTGCAAAAGAGGAGCAGGAGAGACCGAATCGCGTAATTGGGTTTAATTTCTTTGTAATACTATTAAGCTGCACGCCATGTGGGCGGTGCGCAGATCAAGCTGCGTTTCAGTCGGGTTCAATTGCGTTTAATTCGCAGTTATCTGAACTGACCCTGACTTTTCAGAGAATCAAATTCTATTCGAAAACCAGAATCGAGCATAATTTTGCTAACATTTATTTCAGGTTAATGCGGAAATACTAAAAATTACCATTCCTTTGACTACTCAAGTTCTTAGTTTTTAGTTTTTTAAGTTTTACGAGGCCTAAGCGAATTGTTCATTTCAAATCAAAGTACAACAGCAGCCGACTCAAATGACCAACGGCAGGCACACTTTTCGAAGAAAAACTAGTTTTTTCTTCACTCTCGCTACGATATTAAATAACCGACACAGAAACATACATATATAATTACATATGTATATGTATGTGTATGTATGAAGATTAGCTACCGGCACTATACAAAAGATATATGTATGTATACACATAACAAATCGGCAGAAACAACAATAACAAATAACAAAACAACGATGACGGCTCGAATACTAATGTAGTGTCTGGCCTCAGGCCGCCTTTCATACACAAATCCAAAGCATTTTTGTATGCGGAGTAGGGGGCAACATGACGTCATGCTAGCCACAATCAAATATTATATGCGTATTTGGGTATAAAGAACCTACAGCGTATGGTTTTGGGGCGCTCTGTGATGAGTTCGGCTGTTCCGGATACGATCTGGCCAGCATAGTACACACCCAAGACGCTATCGAAGCTAAAATTCACTTTGCTGCTCATCCTGTCCTGACCTTGGCAACAACAGGCGTTGGCTTTTCTGTTAGAATGTTTATTCCTTTATCAAGCGACGCGGAACACAATCGAGTACGCGACGGCACAACAACCAACTGATGAGCTGCGTCCACAACCACGACCGCCGAACGCGAGCAGTTACAAATTAATACTGAAGCTGAATCCGATTAATAAATTCACATATGCTGCGAATGCTGTGAGCGCTAACTGTATGCGTGTGCCAATCTTTGTATAAGTGAGGAATAATTGAATACTAATTTTGTTTGTACCCAAAATACAGTAATGAATTGTTCGCTTGGCAAAATTTGCTGCTTATCTCATTTTTAAATATATAAACTTTTAGCGCTTAACCTGCTACTTGGTGGCAACGCTATGACATTTTATGCCAGCTGATTTAATGTTAATGTTATCGTTAATCGTTATCGTGTGGCAAGCTAAAACAACAGCAACAACGTTTTTAGTTGCTTTTCTTAAATAATTAAAGATGTTTGATGTGATTAATTTAATTTGAACGGAGTTCAGTGCGCGTAAATGAATTTATTATTCGTTTGTTTATTGTCAGTTTAAGTGTAGTGCTCAACTCATCATATTGAATAAAAAGAATATAGTGTTATAGTTGTAGTTCTGCACAGTGATACCAAGGAGGCCGCTCAAATGTGGCCTTTTCTATGTTATTTTTGGATGAGTATTTAATGAGAGAGCTAGTGGTAGTAGCAGCAGCAGCAGCAGCATCATCATCATGGAAAGTGAGCGACTATGCATTCGACTGGACAATCCAGATCGCATTTTTTATGCCGGCCAGGTCATTCGTGGAGAGATTTGGATGAATCTCAACAAGCGTACCAAAATACGAGGTAAATTTAAATTGCTATTACTCTTATTATTAAAAATTTCGCAAGCAGAGCTTGCATCATGTGTGACTCAGGGCCTGTCAGACTACAATTTGCGGTCAGTAATGAAGTTTTCTGATTTTGCTCTGTCCATTGTCATCATGGTTTCGTTATGGCCGCATTGGCATAAACAAAGAAGATGTTTAACAGCAGCATAAATGAAACTCAGCATTCACAGCCATATTATTTATTTATACGTTTTGTTACTCTTGGGTCTGTGATAGTAAATTCTTTCAATTTGGCATTATTCATCGATAGGGGCCCAATTGCTTGCATTCGGCAATTGCTCTTCTTGCTTGTGGGGTCATTTGTTTCAGGAAATGTTACGCGCGGGTTCACTTAGAGAGCGGCGTGCAGGGTGCAGGTGTAATGTTAGCGAGTAAACGTTCTCCCTGAATATGTGCGTGCGGGTATGTTTGTGTGTGTTTGCTAAAAATGCCGTAATAATGGTCTATCAGATGAAGAGAGCTTTTGCTCTCAATACAGTGCTGGCTAGAAAAATGTCCCTACCTTAATGCTGCATTGCTTGCTAACTTTGCGTGCATTGAACAAGTGCATGGAAAAATAACAAAGGTATCACATTTATTTATTCACTTCTTACCGCAGCTAACTTGGCAGCTGCTTTTATCAAAGCTGTGAATAAAAACATCAGCCTGTTAGTAACCGAATATATCGTCATCAGCTGCATTAGCATTCTTTTGTTTACATTTCACATACAGTTCCGCAAAAATCGTAGTTAATGCTAGAGAAGAGAGATATAAGGGAAGAGAAGAAAAGAGAGATGGAGCAAGACAAACAAAGAGAGAGATAGAGAGGGAGAGAGAGAGAGAGAGTGACAGAGAGAGAGAGAGAGAGAGAGAGAGAGAGAGAG